GGGAAGGTATACCTGCGACAGCAAAAATGGAAGCATCGGTGGAGGCGTCGGGCATGGCAGTGAAGAACGGGTTGTGGAGGCGTGCGCTCAGGTGAGCAATGATATCCTGAATCTAAGAAGTGCTCAAGGCGAAAACAGTGGTGGCAGAATCCGACACTGACGATCCAGTGGAGGCGGAGGAAAAACCAAAGAAGTGGGAACCCATAGTGACCGCTGAGGGAGACGACGCGGAACTGTGCCCTTTCGCGTGGGCTTGCTGCGAGGCTGGGCTGCTGCCCGAGTTAGGCTGGAGCTTGAATTCTGGACTGGGCCAATGAGTGTGAGTGAAATAACGGGCTCCATAATTGATGCAGGCTTGGGCCTGAACTTGGGCTTCAGAGACATTTGAAGCTTCATTAAGGTTTGACTTGGTCTTGGGCTTGAGGCCCGGTGGATACCCATGCAGCTAATAGCATCGGTCCACAATGTGGCCCACGAGCTCACAATGGGTGGACACGGGCCTCCTTTTTTCTCCCTGAGCTAGGGCAACAGTCGGTTCAGCTGCTGGTGTTGAGGAGCCGCCACCTGTGTCAATTCCAATCGTGCGGTGGTGCTTTTCTTGCACAACTAGAGAGAAGACCTTCAAAACCGATGAAATAGTTTCCATCATCAAGCTTTGACCTCAGATTCCAGTATAAGACGGATTCAACCCCATTAAGAAAAGCATGATGAACTCTTGCTCTTGATAATCGGTCTAAGCTTTCATGTTCCCACAATGGCAAATCGGAACAGGCTGATACGTCTTCAGCTCATCCCACATTGTTTTCATGCGGGTATGATAAGCATTGATGGAGAGAGAGCCCTGAACCAGATTGTTCATTGCTTGCTTGAGCTGGAAGATCCTTAGAGCGTTGTTTTACTGGAATTGTAGACGAAGGTCAGCCCACATGTCCTGGGCATTCTCGTGATACAGTAGGCTGTCGGCGATGTCCTTGGCGAAGGCGTTGAGGAACCACGAGATTACCATGCTATTGCACCTCGACCAAGCACTAGCGGAAGGATCAGTGTTCACCGACTTGATGAAGGTACCATCAACAAAACCCAATTTGTTCTTTGTATTGAGGGCAATTCTCATAGCCCTTTCCCAAGTATTATAATTATTACCGTGAAAAAGGGTACTCTGTAGCGCCCGGACCGAGAAGAAAAAAAAAAAAAAAAAAAAAAAGCCACGTCGGCAGCCACGTCAGCAAGCCCGGTCAGCAGTCCCGGCCAACCGGGGCCTGCCACGTGGCAAGACCACGTCGCTCCGGAACGGGCCACGTTGGCGATCCGCGTGGGCGCGATCGGACGGCCCAGATCAATCGCGCGATCGGACGGCCCAGATACAATCGCACGGACGGCCCAGATTCAATCAAAAACGAACGGTCCAGATTAAAACAAAATGGACGGCTGAGATCAAAAGGCAAGGGGTTATAAATAGAACCCCCACACCAGACCACAAACCCTAGCCGCCTGCCGCTCGCCGGAGAAGACGAACCAGAGGCCGACCGCCGCCACCCGCCGCCGCACCGGGGAAATTTTCGACAGCCGATCGAGGTAAATTTCATACCCCCGACTCGTTTTTGATTCCTCTTGTGGCCAAATCGAAGCCAAAATCCCGGCCAAACGGCTGGAATACGCGGCCGAAGACCAGCGGCGCCGCCGCGCCCCCTCTCGGTTTTTGCCTCCGACGAGGCCCTTCCCGGCCTCCGTTTGATGCAATTTTTATATCACCGTGATCACCATTCTTTTTTCTACAGGTTGACCGGAGCCGAATCACCAAACCACGAACCTCACCGGAGAGCCGCCGCACCCGAGAGCGCCGCCACCGGTAAGCTCCGCTTCTCCGTGATTTTTTGGCCCCCCGAGGGAGCCGCCGTGCCGGAGTTGCGATATTGGCCAAAAAGGGGCCCTGAGCCTAATTTGAGATTTTTTGGAATACGTGCAGGTACCGTTAGTGTGTTTCAGTTCCCCGGAAAAAATTTAGGGAAAATTAGGGACGGCCTGTAGGTGCACTGTGAATCGTATTCGGATCCCGAAAACAAGTAAGGACCCCTCACCCTATTTCCTATCACGGTATTAAAGTTCAAAATGATAAAACGGTATTTCTTGAATTAACGCATGTGTGAAATTGCTTAAGGTTGCTAATGGAGCCCGAGTCTAATGTGATTGATGATTTACTGTTATTTGGCCTGTTTTACAGCTTTAAATGCATTATGAGGTTTGATGTGTTCATTTTATAGTTTCGAGTGCATATATTACTGTTTTATTAATTATGGGTTGAATGACTGAAGAACTGATACTGTATGTTGTCTGTTTGGCATGAATTACGATTTGCTTGTTTAAATGTGAATTGATGATGCTTATTAAGGAAAAGGAAAATGAAAGATTGTGTAGACTGATAATTGTATGATGGGGTCAGCCTGACTAGATATCCTGAGAGATGGTGGACGGACCGGGTCCGTAGGGAACCCTACCGGGATTGTGGTCTCACATGGCGGACGGGGTATGGAGATCTTATGGTTTTTGGCGCCCATACCGGACGGGGTATGGGGACGGCCCGTTTCACCCTCATACCGGACGGGGTATTGAGGTTTATGGT